TATCACAAAATGGTGACTACAAAATATATGTTTTTCATGGAAAACCTGTTCTGATTGATGTAGACATGCAACGCTTTAATGGAATTCACGAATCATTTTATACCCCTTCCTGGCGCAAAATAAATATGAAGAAATATATGTTACCCACACAAAATATTGACAAACCACGTCGGCTACAGGAAATGTTACAAATAGCCAAACACCTTTCTCGTGACTTTATCAATTTTGTTCGTGTCGATTTGTATTTAAGTAACCTAACCATTTTCTTTTCAGAACTATCTATGTTTTCTGATGCATGTAAAATGCCATTTAAACCACCCATTGCAGAATATTTTTATGGTGCACTTGCAGCAGGTGGCAATCAAGATCCGGAGAGCATTATTTCATTGTTACAAAATGTTAAAGATACATAAGCACATACGGAAATGTGAAAATCGTTGAATAATGACTTTATCATAACAATCTATTCATATTTTACAGGTGGACATTTAATTAATATCATTTCAATCTGCTAATGGCTACAAGATTAACAAGGGATATTTTATCTTCATTTTAAAGAGTTGGTGTAGAAATGTTTTAAAAGTGATGGCGTCAAACCGGCTTTATAAAAAAATAGATCTTTTTTTTCTATAGAATATTGACCGTGGGAGGGGGTCATCATTCTATGGAGGTCACTTAACTTTGTTACATCGGCTTCCAATTAACAATAATCATATCGTCTGCAAATGTTTGACGTTTCAAAGAAAACTATTGTTTAATGATAGAAAATAATAGTTTGAAAATATTTTACACCGTCTTAATATGATAGCATGGCAGTACTGAAATTTGCTATTATTAAGAAATATTAATTCGTTTTTTACGAAATATTAATTCGTAATTACGAAATATTAATTTCCATCCAAGTTGACATCTATTCATATTTCAAGTTTATGTCTTAAATAGTTATCAAGTCATGTTCTGGACCAAAAAGTTATTGTAAAATTAAATAGATGGACATACAGGTAATCAAAAATCACGGACTATATAGAGTTATGGTTCTTTGAAACTGAAATTCTTCTATTTGCCATCTTTTCATATTTCAAGTTTCAAGTTAATCTGTTATGTAGTATTCACGTTATGCTCCGGACAAAAATGTGGGACGAAGGACAGACGGACATAGGGATGGACGGACAGAGACTAAAACCATATCTCCCGCCGCCTGTCGGCGTGATATAATATGGGTAGCCATGGAGAACCTCTTTACAATATGAAACCGCGTGCTAACAAGGTCTCAAAATATTTATTGTATTATAGTGTGTTAACTTAAGTTCATTGTGACATTGACCTTCAACCGACTTATCTCAGTATCTGAAGGGGTTTTCTAGTAACCATGGACACTCACGATACCTACATGCAGTAATGAGGACAACAAGCAAAACCGTATACTTAAGTAATTAGCCTGACATAGAGTTTGAATAGAAGGTACCTACTAACCTCACAATCAAAATTGGTCATCAACAAGCCTGGATCAACCTTGCCACCAAATAATTATATTGATTATAAGCCTAATGACACTCAAAATATGACAAACAAGATCAACAAGGAAAGGCGGCGTTCAATGAACGCAACCCCCATATGACCCAGCAACAAGAACCAGTGGCAAGGAGCCCAGGCGGACCAAAATCAAAAACAGGACAGGGCACAAGACAGAGCACGGACAGGTTAATCAAGTTGATATACATCAGTCAACATGGTTTTTGAGTGAGAAGTCATTCTCAATTCCAAATATCCTCTTTTCCCTCTTTTTCAGAAACATATTCCAAACAGCTGGGACGACTGACCCAAAATTCAAAAGGGGTCATTAACTAGCCAGGGTCTCACTGGCCTCTTCCCTCACTAAATAAAAACACAGTAAATGTCAATGTATTAATTTATTAAGCCGACAAGATAGAGGCTATTGTTCCTATTGTGATTCCGTTTATAAAGAATTTATTCCGTAAAAACGAAATATTAGTTCGTATGTACGTATTATTTATTCGTAAAAACGAATTAGTATTTCGTTAAATCAAATTATATTTCGTAAATGCGAATAAATATTTCGTAAAAACGAATTAAGTACCGGAAAAAAGGTGTGGAAAAATCTCACCTTTGCATAGGGGCTCCGTAGAATACTGAGCTTGAGTACAACACATTTTGACAATCAAATAAGTTCAACAATTAAAACAGATGGGACACTATTAAGATAAAATCAACTTAATTTAAACATTTTTATTGACCAAATATATATATATAGTATAAGTATAAACATTTTCAATACAAATAAAATACATTGTGACAATCAAATAAGTTCAATAATGTAAACAGATGGGACATTGCTAAGATAAAATCAACTTAGTTTTAACATATTTATTTACCGATAATAAGTATAGTATATATACATTTACAATACAAAGAAAATATTTTCATATTAGAACGGAAGAGAGCCTTTTAATGAAAATTCTCTTATTATTTGTAAAGTTTTCCTCTTTTAACTGTTTCGTTTTAAGATAGTCTCTAAAATTCTTATATAATTATAATAGCCGTTCATGTTTTTATGTTTATGTTGTATATACGTAATCATAAAAAGATGATATAAATAAATAGATAAAAAAATAAGTAAAAATACCATGTCCTTAAGTGTTTTAATTAAAAAATATCTCAACAACATGGTTATTTATATTAAAGGAATATTTGATTAATTGGTGTCAAGTACGATGATTTTTGTTTAGAATTGTTTTCTTATGTTATATAGTTCCAAAGTTTGGAAGTATTCATAAAAGGTTTAGTCACTAAATAAGTATTCGGGTCACGTCACATTCGTGACCGTTATTAGGTCGTAAGTTTCGAGAAAACGTTCCTAGTCGTTTTAAAGAGAAAATTAGAAAAAAAGTACGAACACTCAACACAAATTACCTACAGTTACCGAGAAAAAAAGGGTTTAAGAAATGGTTCAGTTTAAGTAATAATCACAAGGCTATCTAATTTGTACGAAGGGGTGTAGCCCTCTAGTATAAATCAGATTGCCGAGTGACTCTTTTGTGTCATACTTAGAAATAAAAGCACGTTCCCTGTTGCCACAATATGAAACCCCAGAAAAAAGTTACAAATGAACTGGCATTTGAATATGACATTTCTATCGGCATCCTTTTCTCTTTCGTCAATAAGTAAACGCCAGAAATCAATGGGCATGCTCTGCAGTGCGGGTAACTTATACCTGCTAACCAGTAAACGCATTATGCATGCATATGTATACGATTTATCTCTGAAAAATCTCCACACTATGATACAAAAGATCGTTTAATTGATGTAAATGTGGCTCCGCCCATTTACTGACATAAATGATAGACACATAAACAGCAGCCTATGGCTATCAAGATTAAACAAATAGCTGCGAGTGCTAGAAGTTGATCCGTGTGATCTTAATCAATCAATGAACTGAATGTAGCAGTTGTAACCTTGAAAGTCAGTGGAATAATATTTACGGTTAAATCAGATTTATATTCACTGTTAAATACTGCATTTAAAGCATTTCTAGTAATTATAACTGGCGCAATTTATGGAGTATTAAAGGGATTTAATTTACATAAGAGTGTATATTCTAAGAAATGTGTGACTAAGTGCTTAGAGGTAAGATCAAAATTGATGACGACGGAAATTAACAGTTATATAAAAACGCATATTTGTTTGTTTATTTATTCTTTAATTTTTATTCATATATCTATTTACTTCGCGCAATCAAAAACAAACACTGATTTTACAATTAGTTCACATGAAAGTAATATTTGAAAACACCTAGAAAATATCACATTACCAAAATAAAAGAATTTCAAAGGTAAGAAAACAAATTTAACTAGAACTAAAAACACAGTAACTGAAACATTACAACATTTGTTGTTGTTTTTTGTGTTTTGTTTTTTAAGTTCATTATTCATCTTCTTTTGATTCTTATGTAAGATATACTTATTATGATTGGAATCGGATTAAGGTTCATGTCTGATTTTTTCTTACATGTAGCGCAAAATGAAATGTTTTTATACGACAATTCCTAAAATGTGCACCTAAATTTATTTTAAAATTAAGATATCTTTATGCCATCAAGATATTGTTTGTTTGTAAATTTCAACAATATGTTACATGCGTTCATACAAATATAATTCAATATTTGCATTAGTCGAATAAATTGTTATATGACCTTCCTGTAAAGTCATAATCATATTGTGTTAATGTTTTGTATGTTTACATATGCACTGTTCGTTATCTTGTAAATATGCTGTAATTTTGTCATCATGGGCTTATAAGCCTTATTTGATTGAAATAATAATAATGTCTGTCTGTCTGTCTGTCTATTTATTTCAATTGCAGTATTGGTGTGATGAATTATACAAAAGAATCTTAAATCTTAACAAATGTACTAACTTTTATTGTTCAAACGTAATGATGGTTTCATATTTACCCTTTTAAATCTATTTGACTCAGGTTTTTGCTTATTATCACAAAGCCAAGTTTTATATTTAAAAATACATTAGTACAGAAGTGAAGTGAATCTTACGTTGGAGTCGAAGTAGACATTTATTCTCGGCAACATTATTAACTTAATAATACACTCAGAACGATCTAATCATTACATTAAACAATGTTTGACTTGATCTAAAGACAACAATAATAAAAAAAAATCATCATTGCTTACATTTTTTTAAAAATCGGTATAAAGGAAATGGATGATGTTGCATCTGTTACAACTGAAATCATAAAAAATCACCATAGATAACGATTGAAGAAAACACGTTATCTACAGATATATATATTAGCTATTGTCGTTGATATAATTAAAAAATTATTCACGCATTTTCATCAATATAAATTTCAGATAAACTCTGCAACGGAATTAATGACACAAGTATGACTAACAAATCAAAATAACGAAGAAAAAGTCAAAATTTGTACTATACAACGATATCGCTAAAACACATTCATTATAACCAATGGAAATATCTCAAACAGAATTAGGCGTAGAAGTTCGAGGATTCCGTATAACGGAGCAGTCAACATTTTCAGACAAAATGTTCCAAAATATCAAGAAGTTCATTATTGAACACCGAATAGTTATTTTTGGTGACCGGGAAAAGCATGCAGAAATAACCCGGCGGTTAGGAATAATCAACGGGGCATTGTTTAAGGAAGACCGACTTTATTTCCACTCGAAGTGTCCACATCCTGATGTGTATAGAATTTCAAATGATCCAGAAGAGGGTTGTACCAATGTGGGACGTTCCGGTTGGCATATTGATAGCTGTTACTTGCACGATCCTTTCAAATACTCCCTTTACCATGTAGTAGATGTGCCCAAGACAGGCGCTACAGGTGAATGAAATACTTGATAACGTTGCTTATCTTTTAACTTTTTACTGATACTGCGTCCGTGTCATGCACTCCACTTAATTAAGTTTAAGGTAAATGTACATTAAATAAATAGCCTAGAATATACCTAAGTGACAGCTATACTGTTCACAAGGCGACACATCCGACTCGCGGAGTTCTAGTTTAAGGTTTTAAGAGACTTCCTTCTTGTCAGAGCGCCTGCAAAAAAATGAAAAAAATTCACTTATACATTAAGCTAGCAAGGACAACTGAATGATTAGATGATTCTTTTAATATTTAAATAAAAGGTTAAATCAAAATAAATGGACTATTACTTTGCTATGAAATTACAACTGTAAGTCAGAGATAAGCGAATGCAGCATCTATGA